ATTTTTTCAGGTGATTGACGGTTCAAGCTTATGGCCCAAACTGTTAGAATTAGAGCTTACACACCCAGTCAAACACTGGAACCACGTAGCCCTTTTGATTTGTGATTCCAACGGACAGTCAAAAAGACGCTCATTCCAAAGGTGGCATTCGGAGGCTTTAGTATTATGCTACATGTTTATCAGTATTGCAACAGTATCCAAATAATCTTCCCTAAATTGCAATGTAATTCATAGATTAAACAAATTTTATATGTGACACAGCACACACTATTTTTATGCCATGTAGTAAGACTAATGTTCTCATATGTTCAGCGTTGGTAAATCCTATAGGAGGATGCATGCAGCCATATTTTCCTTGAAACTGAGACCTTTGGAAACCACTGTAGGCTAGACTTACATAGAACTTCTATCTACAAACTGCGCGGTTTCATGTTAGCCCATTGTCGTACGCGTTGCCTGAAAAGGGATTATAAGTTAACCTCGAGAGCGGTTGTCATGAGCTCCGGCTGCGCTAACTTCGGACTGAACACCAATACGGACAAATCGGTGGTCATGCGTCAAACGCTACCGGGCGGTGAATACAACACACAGTGACTCATTGACAACGGCAACCAACTACAAGCCGTGCGCACTCTCACACAGCATAAACGTTGACGATGAGGTTGCCCGTGGACTCTTCAAAGCCAGCCAGGCCTTCGGCCGACTACTGGTCTGCGTTTTGAACCGTCACAGCCTTCAATTGAAGATATATAAGGCCGTCACCCTGATGATACTTCTTTGTGGAGCGGAGACCTGTACCACCCCTGCAAGCAGCGTCAGGAAGCTCAGCCACTTCCATTTCAACTGTTTTTGCAGAATACCGAGGCTGAGATGACAGGACAGGACCCTGACACTGAAGTCCAGGAGCGGACCGGAATACTCAGCATCCGCGCCATGCCGAGACAACTTGAACTGCGATGGAACAGCCACCTGTTGAGAATGGATGATGCTCGTCTGCCAAAACAACTCTTACGCAGAGAAATCGCCACGGGTACTCGCCGAGGGGGGAAAACCAGAACGACGCTTCAAGGACACTTTGAAGAATTTTCTTAAGCAATTGCCTATCAAATCACAGACCTCGGAGGACCATTCCCAGAAAAGACCGGCCTGGAGAAGGGAAGTAAAGACTGGTGCAGCAGTCTAAAAAGCAAACAGGATCGTCGCCGCCAAAGACAGGAGGGTACCTCGTAAGTCTCAGGCGCCTCCAGCCCGCATCATGATTATTTAATCGCATGTCTGTGCCCACACTTAACAACGTTGCTACGAATTCCCGTGTTGCATTGCCCCACTACCATCATTACTACCTCCATTACCACCTCCATTACCTCTGCCATAATTGTCGCAGCGGCGACTAACAAAACCACCACCGCCACATACCATAACGCTCCTGACGCCTCCACAACAACCAACACATTCACCATCACCACCCCCACCTCCAGCGATGTGGACTCGGTCCCAACTAGTCCTCATTGCGACCGCACATTCACCTCACACACTGCCCTGCCCCAGCCACTTGCAAATCTATCGCACAGAGACTGACAAACCAGTGCCTGGAGAAACAATATACACACGCCGCATCCGTCTTCACTGTCCGCGCACATTCATCCCCAGCGTGGGCCTGTTCAGCCACCTGCGCATCCATGACACTGAAATTCACCACAGTAACGATACACACAGAACAATTTGCACACCCAACACGCCCAACCCACTAATTTCCCCATCTCCCAGCGCACTCATTAATAATGACAGTTCGACCGTCGATTTCGACGATGTCCACCGTGTGCCCCACAACTGCAGCAGAGGTGGGAGCAGGGACGGTGACTTACGCAGGGGTTTATAGTGCCAGTAGACTTGCGTAGCATCTACCTACACTCTCCCCTCCTCCCCCGCCTGGGCCCGGTGTCAAGACAGAGTCAAGAAGACCGGAGACGAGGGAGGCCGCAGGTGGATGGCTCGGACGGATCCTCACCTTGGCGTTCCACCACACCCCCTGGTCCACACAACAATAACCAGGATTTC